CAAAAATTGGATGTGTGGCGGACACAAGTTAACGGCCAATTTGTTCAGAGCTTATACCTCAGACGTCGGTGACAGGCGAAAAATAATCAAAAATATTATTTGCAGGCGAATTTCTGCTTCTGTATTTCTTCATGCATGAATAGTAACCAAAAATTATTAGAACGGTCTTAGACCTGGTGCTCGTTTGTGATTTAGAGGATAAAGTTATCGATTGTTCTAGCTATTTTTAGTAAACCAGCCCCGTATTGGAGGCGAAGTTGATGGACGCTTCTGTTGTCATTGTTTAGAAAGGGTTTCATCCGGCTACCTCCATTCTCAACCAATTCAACCCTAATGCGGTGACTATAACCACGTCAAAGTTCACTCAAATCATAGCTCGTCGAGAAATGGTGACGCGGAGCAACTTGAAGGGGTGGTGGGGTGTTTCGTGTCGTACCGAGCAACGAGGACAAAGTTAATCCCCATCTCCTGTACATTCGTTTCGCTTTGGTAGACCGTAGATTGACAAGCAGGTCTCGCCTTTCAAGATGCTAGTGAACGGAACACTTAACTGAAGCAACTACACATGATCTTAGCTCAGAGAGCCGAGAAGCAAAAGTACAGCCGAGAAGCCAAAGGACAGCAAAATTACTATCTGAACTTTTTAAAATTACTTGAAGACCACGCCGGGGGGTTGTGGGTGCAAGATATTGGGAGAGACGCATGGCAAAAAGTAGTCCGCAATTGGAGGCAATAAAGCTTTCTTCTTAAAAGTCCTACTACAGTCTCCATTGTCCAGAAGTCGTGAAGGTCAGAATTTGAATAATGAGCAGGAAGGATGGTATTTGTCCACAGTCTGTCAGAACGAAATATATATGCCTTTTCGTTCAAGCAAATCCCGCTCCTCCTTCTTGGTGTACCCTCTCAATTAGCCGTTATTCCGGTTGATCGAAATCGCTCTATGTAACATCCTGAAGCGATTTTCATGGATCAGCCGTTCAATAAAGGACGGATTGAGTTTCCATGGTCCCATAGGCGGCCTCGTCGATTAGCTTCGAGTCGTTAGCATCACATATGCACAGGATATGAATCAAACAAACATTCCCATCACGTTGGCTGCTACGTCCAATCCCGCCTGTTGTTGCACACGACGTGGAAGAGTGTGAAAGGATAACATTGACTCTCTTGTTGCGATTCAATACATTCCGGCTATGATTAATAAAACACCACTTATATTCGGATGTTAATGTTCGCTAAAGTTGCTGATAGGTGCCCGCTCTGACAGACGCTAATGAAAGAGGTCCCCTCCCTATGATTGCCCTTAAGGGACCTCTAGCGCAAGTGAGATTGAAATCGGTGTGTAGCCCACGTGACTGTGATTCGCGCTCGACACTGTGAATACAACCATCTAAATGCGGTCTGACTGGACAGACCACTTGCTATTTGGAAAGGAAAATGAGAGGTCAATATGGACCGCACCCAGTGGTTTGTCTTTTAAACTAAACACCTGAGTGTGCGATCGAGACGGCCTCAACTGAAATGCTGCAAAATGCCCAGCCATTCATCCCTGACAAAGAGTTGCATGTGGGAATGGAAAGAGTGCTTTTATGACGTTGTAGTGACACTAAAATGCAATTCCAGCCGTAGTATGGCTTAATTATAGAGGGTGTCCGAGTATGTGCGCTCCGTTGTAAACAAATTAACGTGCAAACCTCAACTTTCTCCTCAGAACAGCGATGAACCTTTTTGTTTGCAGAGTTCGAACTATAAAACCATGCGTTCCCAATTCTGCGGTTCTTTGCAATGACATGCGGGCAAGTTCCGTTTGATGGAAGAATTTGACAAGTTATAAATACGTGATGATTTTGTTAACATGCCTCGGTCGCTGAAAACGACCTGCTCGTTGATTTTATACACATTAATATTGACACCGGAAATTTTGTGAGTCCGCAAATAGACAGAACGTCATTTTGTAACTCTAATGATCAAATTTTCTTCCTTCTTCTTAGTACGTGAACATTGCTTTAATGCAAACGCAATAGTGTACCAAAGGGGACCAGCATCAACTAGACTAATGAGAGGCTTTTCATAGACGTGGGCAATATATAACTCAAAAATCCGAACACTGGCTCTATTAGCTTATTAAGCATTAAAGTATAGGCATTTCATGTGCTCTCCAACGCACTTACGACAGAAGTATTTACGCTATAAATGCATGTAAAACGTAGTTTTCCTAGCATTTGCTCACTAGCAGTTTGTCGACCTAGCTTTTTGTTCACGCCGAATTTGTTCATGTTCTACTGATAAATAGTCCCCTCATCTTTTTTTGAAGGTTTTTTAAGTGACTTCTGTGAACTGCGTGCGTGGATGGACTGCTTATATAAGACGACATTTCGACCGTCATGTCTGTCCTCGTGACTTCCACAGGATTTCGTTTTAAGGGACAGGATAATTGCGATGCATCTGTCACACTTTCTCGCGCCTCATCCGCCCGTGCCCAGTGTCATGACATATTGAAGAAGACCGGGGGAGGGATCTGGCGCGGTCGACACAAACACACGACATAATAGCCTGCTGTATCCCGATTAGG